CACTGAAAGCTGAAAAATTGGCCTGGACAGGAAGGGGGTGAAAGTGTCCGGACTGGAAGTGGTAACAATGAAATGATGGGGTTTAATCTCCTGTGTTGTATAATTGCAGTGTATGATATCATTGTCACATACGATGATTGCATTGTTCTGTCTGATGATACAATGTAACACCCCCCACCACCCGGCCATCCCTCACTGTACCTGCTGCACAACTACAGATCACAACTGCGCGTGCGCGACCGAGCCACGCTGTCCTCCTCCTCCTCCTCCTCCCTCCCTCCCCCCCTGCGCTGGTCACGTGCTCACTGCTCGCAGACTCCGTCACGTGACGTGCGTTGGGCTCTCGGTGCGACAGTGACATCAGCGCCGGAAGTTCGGTAAGTGAGTGAGAGCCGGGACCCGGTTCTCCCGGTCCATTGATCCGCCCGGCACCGCCGCCTCTGGCTGTGGGTGGGGGGAGGGGACAGAGGCAGAGCCCCCCCGGGGAGATCACTAAGACTTCCCCTTGTTTACATCCGGCCTGATCTCCCCTCCCCCAACTGTGTGCTAGCTGTATGGGGCCCGGGGCCCCGTATTAGAACACAGCTTCACGTATTCTGTCTGTATGGGCCTCTGAGATCCCTGTGTGTTGTCTATGGGGGCCCCAGAGAGCTTTGCATTGTCTTTAGAGGCCACTGTGTTTATTGGGGCCCCAGAGATCCTTGTGTTGTCTGTAGGGGCCCCAGAGCTCCCCATGTACTGTCTATGGGGCCCCCGGAGCTCCCCGTGTACTGTCTATAGGGGCCCCGGGAGATGCCCGTGTACTGTCTATAGGGGCCCCCGGAGATGCCCGTGTACTGTCTATAAGGGGCCCCCGGAGATGCCCGTGTACTGTCTATAAGGGGCCCCCTGGAGCTCCTCGTGTTCTGTCTGTAAGGGCCCCGGGATCTCCGCGTACTGTCTATAGGGGCCCGGAGCTCCTCGTGTTCCCCTGTAGGGTCCCGGTCTCTGCGTACTGTCTGTAGGGGCCGCGGAGCTCCCCGTGTACTGTCTATAGGGGCCCCCGGAGCTCCCCGTGTACTGTCTATAGGGGCCCCTGGAGCTCCCCGTGTACTGTCTATAGGGGCCCCCGGAGCTCCCCGTGTACTGTCTATAGGGGCCCCCGGAGATGCCCGTGTACTGTCTATAGGGGCCCCCGGAGCTCCCCGTGTACTGTCTATAGGGGCCCCCGGAGATGCCCGTGTACTGTCTATAGGGGCCCCCGGAGATGCCCGTGTACTGTCTATAGGGGCCCCCGGAGATGCCCGTGTACTGTCTATAAGGGCCCTGGAGCTCCTCGTGTTCTGTCTGTAGGGTCCCGGATCTCTTTGCATACTGTCTGTAGGGGCCGCGGAGCTCCCCGTGTACTGTCTGTAGGGGCCGCGGCGCTCCCCGTGTACTGTCTGTAGGGGCCGCGGCGCTCCCCGTGTACTGTCTGTAGGGGCCGCGGAGCTCCCCGTGTACTGTCTGTAGGGGCCGCGGAGCTCCCCGTGTACTGTCTGTAGGGGCCGCGGAGCTCCCCGTGTACTGTCTGTGTAGGGGCCGCGGAGCTCCCCGTGTACTGTCTGTAGGGGCCGCGGAGCTCCCCGTGTACTGTCTCTAGGGGCCTGGAGATTCCCTTATACTGTCTGTAGGGGCCCAGATCGCTTTGTGTACTGTCTATAGAGGCCCCAGAGATGCCCGTGCACTGTTTAGAAGGGCCCTGGAGATCCCCATGCACTGTCTATAGGGGCCTGGAAATTTTTATACTGTCTAAAGGAGCCCGGATCTCTTTGTGTACCATCTGTAGTGGCCCCGGAGCTCCCCGTGTACTCTCTGTAGGGGACCCAGAGCTCTCCCATGTACCTTCTGTAGGGGCCCGGATCTCTTTATGTACTGTCTATAGGGGCCCCAGAGATCCATGTGTACCGCCTTTAGGTCCCCCGATCTCTTTGCTGTCTACAGGGGCCTGGAGATTCCCGTATACCGTCTATAGGGTCCCGGATCTCTTTGTGTACTGTCTCTAGGGGCCACTGAGTTCCCCGTGTACTGTCTCTAGGGGCCGCGGAGCTCCCGTGTACTGTCTGTAGGGGCCGCGGAGCTCCCCGTGTACTGTCTGTAGGGGCCGCGGAGCTCCCCGTGTGCTGTCTGTAGGGGCCGCGGAGCTCCCCGTGTGCTGTCTGTAGGGGCCGCGGAGCTCCCCGTGTGCTGCTGTCTGTAGGGGCCGCGGAGCTCCCCGTGTGCGGAGCTCCCCGTGTGTGCTGTCTGCTGTCTGTCTGTAGGGGCCGCGGAGCTCCCCGTGTGTGCTGTCTGTAGGGGCTGTAGGGGCGGAGCTCCCCCGTGTGCTGTCTGTAGGGCCCGCGGAGCTCCCCGTGTGCTGTCTGTAGGGGCCGCGGAGCTCCCCGTGTGCTGTCTGTAGGGGCCGCGGAGCTCCCCGTGTGCTGTCTGTAGGGGCCGCGGAGCTCCCCGTGTGCTGTCTGTAGGGGCCCGGAGCTTTGTGTACTGTCTGTAGGGGCCGCGGAGCTGTGCTGTCTGTAGGGGCCGCGCGTGCTGTCTGTAGGGGCCGCGGAGCTCCCCTGTCTGTAGGGGCCCGCGGAGCTCCCCCCTGTCTGTGCGCGGAGCTCCCCGTGTGCTGTCTGTAGAGGCCCGGATCGCTTTGTGTACTGTCTATAGGGGCCCCAGAGATGCCCGTGCACTGTTTAGAAGGGCCCGGAGATCCCCATGCGCTGTCTATTGGGGCCTGGAAATCTTTGTGTACTGTCTAAAGGGGCCCAGATCTCCCCGTGTACTCTCTGTAGGGGCTCCTGAGCTCCCTGTGTACCGTCTGTAGGGGCCCGGATCTTTTTATGTACCGTCTATAGGGGCCCCCAGAGATCCACATGTACCGTCTTTAGGGCCCCGAATCTCTTTGCTGTCTATAGGGGCCCCGGAGATCCCCGTGTACCATCTATAAGGGCCTGGATCTCTTTGTGTACCGTTTATAGGGGCCCCGGCAATCCCCGTGTACCGTCTTTAGGGTCCTCAGAGATCCCTGTGTAGTCTATGCAGACAGCTGTATAAGCATTATCAGATCTTCCTTCCCCCTCTACTAAAAATGTCATTCTGTCTGTGTCCCCAGTGGAGACGTTTCTTTTCACTTCCTCTCTTCCTTGTCCCGTTCATGAGCCAGTACAGCACCGCCCCCTCTTCCTTCACCCATTCATGAGCCAGCACTGGGCACCGCCCCCTCTTCCTTCACCCATTCATGAGCCCAGCACTGGGCACCGCCCCCTCTTCCTTCACCCATTCATGAGCCAGCACTGGGCACCGCCTCCTCTTCTATCACCCATTAATGAGCCAGCACTGGACACCGCCCCCTCTTCTGTCACCCATTAATGAACCAGCATTGGGCACCACCCCCCTCTTCTGTCACCCATTAATGAACCAGCATTGGGCACCACCCCCTCTTCCTTCACCCATTAATGAACCAGCACTGGGCACCGCCCCCTCTTCCTTCACCCATTCATGAGCCAGCACTGGGCACCGCCCCCTCTTCTATCACCCATTAATGAGCCAGAACTGGACACCGGCCACCCTCTTCCTTCACCCATTCATGAGCCAGCACTGGGCACCGCCCCCTCTTCCTTCACCCATTCATGAGCCAGCACCACCGCCCCCTCTTCTATCACCCATTAATGAGCCAGCACTGGGCACCGCCCCCTCTCTTCATTAATGAGCCAGCACCCATCGCCCCCTCTTCTGTCACCCATTAATGAACCAGCATTGGGCACCACCCCCTCTTCTGTCACCCATTAATGAACCAGCATTGGGCACCACCCCCCCTCTTCCTTCACCCATTAATGAACCAGCACTGGGCACCGCCCCCTCTTCCTTCACCCATTCATGAGCCAGCACTGGGCACCGCCCCCTCTTCTATCACCCATTAATGAGCCAGCACTGGACACCGCCCCCTCTTCTGTCACCCATTAATGAACCAGCATTGGGCACCACCCCCTCTTCTGTCACCCATTAATGAACCAGCATTGGGCACCACCCCCTCTTCTGTCACCCATTAATGAACCAGCATTGGGCACCACCCCCTCTTCTGTCACCCATTAATGAACCAGCATTGGGCACCACCCCCTCTTCCTTCACCCATTATTGAGCCAGCATTGGGCACCACCCCCTCTTCTGTCACCCATTAATGAACCAGCATTGGGCACCACCCCCTCTTTCTGTCACCCATTAATGAACCAGCATTGGGCACCACCCCCTCTTCCTTCACCCATTATTGAGCCAGCATTGGGCACCACCCCCTCTTCTGTCACCCATTAATGAACCAGCATTGGGCACCACCCCCTCTTCCGTCACCCATTCTTGAGCCAACACTAGGCACCGCCCCCTCTTCCTTCACCCAATCATGAGCCAGCACAGCACGGTACTGCTGGGGGATGATGCGGCCCATAGATGGGCTCGGTATTTTGCCCCAAAGACTTGCATTCACCCTCTAAAATTTGTACAGCCAGTTCTAACCGGTGTTGTGTCACGTGACACCATCACATTGGTGGGAATGTCCGTGACCACAGACTCACCTCTGTGAGGCTGCACCCAGGCCAGAGCCCCCCCAAACAAAAGGCGGGGTCCGGAGGGGAAGTACTAAGGAATGATAAGCAGTCTGGCGTCAACCAATGGGCAGAGTCCAGATTGATAGAGATAGAGTCACCCTTTATGGGTTCAGAGACCCCCTTTATCAGGACTGGACTCATATTGATAATTCTTGTATAGGTGGAATTATTATTATTATACAGTATTTATATACCGCCAAAGGGTTTGCTCAGCACTGGTACAGTAGTGAGGGGGACAGAACATGACGGTAACAATACAATACACGAGGGGTTCGAGGGGCCTGCTCTTTCCAGCTTACAATCTAGGAGGTGGAATGGGACATTATCAGGCTGCTGGGGGTATTATTGATGATGGCGGCTGCTGACATTTTTTTTTTTGTCTTCCTGTGAACAGCAAGAATGAGTTATTCGGAGAAACCCGAGGAGATCACGAAGGACGAGTGGATGGAGAAACTAAACAACCTGCACATCCAGAGGGCGGATATGAATCGACTCATCATGAACTACCTGGTGACAGGTCAGCAATGAGGACTGATTGGCACCCTGGTGCAGATTTGTCGATCAGCTGATGTTGCCATATACATACCTGTCCATGATGACACAGGCTGGGCCTCTCCCATAACCATTTATAAAGGAATGTGGCCTACATCTCATAGTAGAAGGACTGGATACATTCAAGTACAACTACACCTACTCAATAAAACATAGAACACGGGTGTCAAACTGGGGGCCCTCCAGTTGTTGGCCAACTACAAGTCCCATGATGCATTGCACGGCTGACAGTTACAAGTATGACTCCCAAAGGCAGAGGCATGATGGGACTTGTAGTTTTGCAACAGCTGGAGGGCCGCCAGTTTGACACCCCTGACCTATGCCATGGCTGCTCAACCTGTGGGCACAGGTGTCAAACTAGCGGCCCTCCAGCTGTTTCCAAACTGCAAGTCCCATGATGCTTTGCACGGCTGACAGTTACAAGCATGACTCCCAAAGACAGAGGCATGATGGGACTTGTAGTTTCGCAACAGCTGGAGGGCCGCCAGTTTGACACCCCTGACATAGAAGCTTTAAGGCAGAACTCCAGTCAAAAATGTAAAAAAAGCTAAATAATAGCCCATTTGCAGCCAAAGTTCTTTTAAGGGTTTTTTTTTTTTTGCACAAGTTTAAAAACTCTTTCTCGGGCCTGATGGTTATGTAAAACCCCTCAAACAGTCTCCATCAGAGTCCCCCTCAATATAAGGTGTTCCCATCAGAGTCCCCCCTCATATAAGGTGTTCCCATCAGAGTCCCCCTCAGTATAAGGTGTTCCCATCAGAGTCCCCCTCAGTATAAGGTGTTCCCATCAGAGTCCCCCTCAGTATAAGGTGTTCCCATCAGAGTCCCCCTCAGTATAAGGTGTTCCCATCAGAGTCCCCCTCAGTATAAGGTGTTCCCATCAGAGTCCCCCTCAGTATAAGGTGTTCCCATCAGAGTCCCCCTCAGTATAAGGTGTTCCCATCAGAGTCCCCCTCAGTATAAGGTGTTCCCATCAGAGTCCCCCTCAGTATAAGGTGTTCCCATCAGAGTCCCCCTCAGTATAAGGTGTTCCCATCAGAGTCCCCCTCAGTATAAGGTGTTCCCATCAGAGTCCCCCTCAGTATAAGGTGTTCCCATCAGAGTCCCCCTCAGTATAAGGTGTTCCCATCAGAGTCCCCCTCAGTATAAGGTGTTCCCATCAGAGTCCCCCTCAGTATAAGGTGTTCCCATCAGAGTCCCCCTCAGTATAAGGTGTTCCCATCAGAGTCCCCCTCAGTATAAGGTGTTCCCATCAGAGTCCCCCTCAGTATAAGGTGTTCCCATCAGAGTCCCCCTCAGTATAAGGTGTTCCCATCAGAGTCCCCCTCAGTATAAGGTGTTCCCATCAGAGTCCCCCTCAGTATAAGGTGTTCCCATCAGAGTCCCCCTCAGTATAAGGTGTTCCCATCAGAGTCCCCCTCAGTATAAGGTGTTCCCATCAGAGTCCCCCTCAGTATAAGGTGTTCCCATCAGAGTCCCCCTCAGTATAAGGTGTTCCCATCAGAGTCCCCCTCAGTATAAGGTGTTCCCATCAGAGTCCCCCTCAGTATAAGGTGTTCCCATCAGAGTCCCCCTCAGTATAAGGTGTTCCCATCAGAGTCCCCCTCAGTATAAGGTGTTCCCATCAGAGTCCCCCTCAGTATAAGGTGTTCCCATCAGAGTCCCCCTCAGTATAAGGTGTTCCCATCAGAGTCCCCCTCAGTATAAGGTGTTCCCATCAGAGTCCCCCTCAGTATAAGGTGTTCCCATCAGAGTCCCCCTCAGTATAAGGTGTTCCCATCAGAGTCCCCCTCAGTATAAAGGTGTTCCCATCAGAGTCCCCCTCAGTATAATAAGGTGTTCCCATCAGAGTCCCCCTCAGTATAATAAGGTGTTCCCATCAGAGTCCCCCTCAGTATAATAAGGTGTTCCCATCAGAGTCCCCCTCAGTATATAAGGTGTTCCCATCAGAGTCCCCCTCAATATAAGGTGTTCCCATCAGAGTCCCCCTCAATATAAGGTGTTCCCATCAGAGTCCCCCTGATGGGCTTTGTGGATGCATCCCATTGTTTTATTGTGTGTCTTGCTTGGGAGCAAACTATTATGGGATATATGTGTTTATGTGTATTGGCTTGGTGGGGGGTGTCTCCAGCAGCCCTCCCTCCTGATGGGACTGTCTGTTAGTGTGTCTCTTGTTACCAAATGTAGATTTCCCTGCCCTGTGTCATTATGCAGGGGGGGGGGGGGATTGTTCCCTTGAGTGTATATATCTTGTATCAGTGTTAAAATAAAGTACTCTACTTTCTGGATTACTTCAAGACTGGTGTCGTCTAGTCTTGTATGGTCTGCTGTGGTGTCTGTGTTCAGACGGGGAAGCTGTAGTCTAACAGAAGTACCGAAGTGCAGTCTGGGTTGGTTCCATTACAGCATACTTATATGCGTGTGTATGAGGGTGGCTTAAAATGGAGCTCCAGCCATAACTTTTTCTTCGTCTCCCTATGGGGAGAGATTTACCTTCAATTCCTTTGTGGGTGACAACATTATCACTAGGATATGAAGCCAGGGGAAATCATCAACGGGGACACAGTCATAAAAATACTCTTTACAGAGTAGGGGAAGGCTGGAACCCTCATCGGGTTTATTGCTGCGTGTTCCAGTTTGCAGAATGTCTCATTTTCTCTGCTGGCCAAAATGTTGTCACCGGGAGCTGAAGTTGGGGTGAACTCTTCGGTGACACCTCAGCATTGAAAAGCTTTTGGGAGTTTTATGATGTTGACGTTTTTGACAAGGCACAGCTCATCTCTCTGAAGGTGACAAGTCCTAAAGATTAGCAGTGCCTTGTTGAAAAGTCAGCCAATAAACCTGTTTATGTTGCTTTGATGCAAGACCCGGCAAGTGCCTCCTCCACTGGACTGTTCATCTGTGTATATGATAGGCACATTTGATACGGTTTATTCTTTCTCTCCCCTAGAAGGATTCAAGGAAGCAGCAGAGAAGTTTCGGCTGGAGTCAGGAATCGAGCCAAGTGTGGATTTAGAGAGCCTGGATGAAAGGATAAAGATTCGGGAGATGATCCTTAAAGGGCAGATCCAGGAAGCTATCGCCCTGATAAACTCTTTACACCCAGAGCTGCTGGACACGCACCGCTACCTTTACTTCCACCTACAGGTTAGTCCGAGGACTGCATATTCAGCTTTTAGTTTTTAAAGCGGAGCTCCACCCAAAAGGGGAAGTTCCGCTTTAATAACTGCTCCCCCGCTCCCCATTAAGGATTGGCACCTTTGGGGGGCGGTGGGGAGCAGGTACCCAAAATTGACAGGTACCCGCTCCCAATTGCAGTCAGATCGCCTAGGCGATCGGAAACGAAAGGTGTCCTCCCCGTAGTATTCTGGGACACGTGACAGGTTCCAGAAGACTACAGGACCATTCATGAAGCGCAGCGCTACTCGCGCATGCGCAGTGGGTACCTGGCTGTGAAGCCACAAGCTGTCACAGCCGGGTGCCCACACTAAAGATGCCGGCCTCCTGGAATACAGGACGGCCGGTGAAACGGGGGGGGGGACACACCACGGGACCGAGGGACAGGTAAGTGGCTGTTTTTTTAAAAGTCAGCAGCTACAGTTTTTGTAGATGCTGACTTTTATTTTTTGAGTGAGTGGAACACCACTTTAAGCCCTCTTGCACACTTGACGTTTTTACAGCGGCTGTTTTTGGCTTTTGATGTTTTTTTCTACAGCCAGCAAACCCCCCAGCATGTTATCCTAGGTGTCCATACACACAGACTGTAATCAGCGTTTATTGGCTGAGACGTTTTTTAGCTGGGAAAAAAACCCAGGACTGGTGTGTTTCTGGAGGAGTTTTTTAGCTGGAAAAACGCTCTAAAGCTGAAAAACACGGTAAAACGGGGCAAACCAGCGTTTTTTGGACTTTTTTACCCCCAAAAATGTTTTGGGTAAAAAAAAAAACCGCTAAAAATGCAAACATGGAAAAACGCAGGAAAATGCTGCTAAACGCTAATGCAAAAAACGCTAAAAAACTGAAAAACTCGAGTTTCTACCATGACTTTACACAGCTAATGTTACCAGCTTTATCAAAACATCAAATGTGCATGAGGGCTAAGGCCTCATGCACACTGGATGTTTTGCTATCTCTCCAAGACCTCATTTCTCCTGGCATTTTGGCAGAAAAAAAAAACACTTGACTTTTATAAAAGTGTTTAGCCGCATCAAAGGTTTCGGCGTTAATTAATTTCATTTGGCAGAATAATATTTTATTCTGCCAAGCGCCCTTAGGAGCAGCTGAAAAAACTTCCATTGTGCACGAGGCCTGAAGTGGATCTTTAGCCGGCTATAGCCATTCAAGCATTTTCATACTCTTAAAGCAATAAATGGTTTTTAAATCAAATCCTTACTGACCCCTGTAGCTACAGGCGCTGTGCAGTAATTCACCCTCAAAGTTCGCAGCAGAAGCATTAATGTTATTCAGTTTCTCTCAGAAGCTCGGTTTCCCACTTCTAGATGTGGCACAGCAGCTCAGGCTCCTCTGCTCCACCTCCCAGCTGTGCTTCCCCCTTGCAGCAGTGATACAGTAGCTCAGCTCTCCCTCCCAGCGGTGACTCAGCAGCTCTGCTCCACCTCCCAGCAGTGACAACAGCTGTGCTTCCCCCTTGCAGCAGTGATACAGTAGCTCAGCTCTCCCTCCCAGCGGTGACTCAGCAGCTCTGTTTCACCTTCCCAGCAGTGACCTAGATGAGTTCAGTGCATGTGCTGTGCGTTGTTAGTATAAATTGCTCCACTGTGCCTGCAGCTACAGAGGCTAGTGAGGGCTTGTTCTGAAGTTAACTTAGCACTTGTATATAATATGTAAATATTTGAATTAGAGAGTTGATAGCTGACATACTCAGTGGAAGAGCAGCACTCTCCTAGTGCAATACACAGGACTGAATTGTCATTTTGATGGTTGGGCAGTGCAGAGGAAGGAGTGGCTCCCAGCTGCACCCCCCTCCCCAGCACAGCACTTGAGGCTGGTTCCCCTGTCGCCCCTTTTTTGGCTCGGCCTTCATATGACTGTCTACTCTAACAGCTGTGAGAAGCAGCCACAAAACTGCATGGAACTGTGTGTGTTCAGCCATATGGTTTGGGAAGACTCATGCTGCTTGCCCTGGGTGCAGAGCATTCTGGGATATGGGAAAGAATTCTGTGCAGGGTTCAGTTTGTCTTTCTTTTTGTTTGTTCAGCAACAACATCTCATAGAACTGATCAGGCAGCGGGAGACGGAAGCGGCCTTGGAATTTGCCCAAACCCAATTGGCCGAGCAAGGGGAGGAGAGTCGGGAATGTTTGACGGAGATGGAGAGGACACTGGCATTGCTGGCCTTCGATAACCCAGAGGACTCCCCGTTCGGTGACCTACTTAACATGATGCAGCGACAGAAGGTATGTCCCGCTGGCAGCGGCTGTTCTTGTTTAACACACATTAAATACAAGAATTCCTTTGGGAGCTGATTGGCTTTCTTTGTTTGGTTCAGACTAGAAAATTGCTACTACCGTAGGTGATTTGATGGAGCCGTGTGACTACGCAGGCTAGGTGTTCTGAGCCCTTTGTATTATAGATCACTGTTTCTCACCAGCAAGGAAGGAGGGAGAACAGCTGGCCGTAGACACTAGGTACCGTCCTGCATCTTTTCCTCGAATGCTTCCTAAACACCAGCAGTTGCAGGTTTAGTGTGTTGAGCGGGGAGGGATAGGTGCACTATAGGCAAGTCCGAAAATGGCTTCTCAATGGTTTCTAAGATGCGCCTCAGTCGGTGGTGTCTGCAGGTGATTTACAAAAACTGGAAAGTGCAAAGTCAGGTGCAGCTCTGCATAGAAACCAATCAGCTTCCAGGTTGTTTATTTATTTTTTCAAAGCTTAATTGAACAAGTTGAAGTTAGACGCTGATTGGCTGCCATGCACAGCTGCGCCAGATTCTGAGTGCTCCAGTTTAAGGCTAGGTTCACATCTGTGCGGGTGGTGCCGCGGCGGATCCGCAAAAAAAATCAGCGCAGCCGCACCACTCATACAGAAGAATGTGGACCCCCGGGCAGGTGCCATTCTAATGGCACGCCGCCCGCACTGCAAATCGAAACCGCACTGGAAACCGAGGTTCCCGTGCGGGCTGCTGTTTCCAAAGAAGTGCAGGGACTTCTTCCCTGTGTGTCCTGGGGCACTGCAAATCGAAACCGCACTGGAAACCGAGGGTGCGGGCTGCTGTTTCCAAAGAAGTGCAGGGACTTCTCCCGTGTCCTGGGGCACGGGAGTCTATTCAAATGAATGGGCTCGCCGCCAAAACGCAGCCCGCAACGGCCGCATAGATGTGAACCAGGGCTTAGTAAATATCCCCTTATGTATTATAGATACAGGTCTATGAGGACCTATTCACACTTCTTATCCATTTTTGTGCAGCAAAATCTATGCTATGCTATGAAAATGTGCTAAAAATTGTAAATAAAAATCTCATTCTTTCCTAGTGATTTGGATCATATTTGTGTACATTAGTTTAGGTGTGAAAGGGAAACTGTGAGCCCATTCACACCTACACCTGTGTGTTAGCACACTTACTGATTTGACATGGACATATGAATTCAGCCTAAGGCACCCATGGAGGAAAGAACATTGCTCAGTTTCCCCATCAACACAGTCAGTGTGCCTCCCACACCGCTATTGTGTTCTGCCGGTGGGGAGCCTTCCCTGCTGGCAGAACACAAAGATTAATGTTGCTGGCTATAGCTGGTGGCACTAGTTGTTGGGGAAAAACCTTACTGGCTGGTTGTACATAGAAGATTGTCTTGTGTACAACCAGGGTGCTCATACATGGATCAAAATACATCCGGTCCCTCCTAAACTGGCTGAATTTCGATCCACGTGTGACCAACACTTAAATCCGCGCTCCACCTAAAAGGGGAATTTTCACTTTAACGCATCACCCCCTCCCTCCAACCTGGTTAAGGATTGGCACCTTTGGAGGGGGGGGGTACCCGAATTTGACAGGTAACTGAAATTTGACAGGTACCCGCTTCCGCTGTGATCACCTAGGTCAGTGGTCGGCAAGCCGCGGCTCGCGTGCCACATGCGGCTCCACACTCTAATGCGCTCTTTTGTGTGCCGGAGCGCCCGTGGGGAGCCCTCCTGGGCGGCCGCCCCAAAAGATTCAGGACTTTTGCTGGCCGCGGAGCGTGGCAAACATTGGCTGTCAGGATGTAGGCAGGGCAGCGTGACGAACTCCTCTCCTCTCACAGTCCGCCCTGAAGACCGGAACGGCGCGGGAACACGGCGAGAGGAACGCGCGGAGCAAAGGTAAGTGAATTGACACAATATGGGGAATGAATTACTATAATGAATACTATGGGGGGGATGAATTACTATAGGGGGGAGATGAATTACTATGGGGGGGATGAAACTATAGGGTGATGAATTACTATGGGGGATGAATTACTATATGGGGGATGAATTACTATAGGGGGGATGAATTACTATTAGGGGGATGAATTAATGGGGGATGAATTACTATATGGGATGAATTACTATGGGGGATGAATTACCATATGGGGGATGTAATTAAACTATGGGGGATGAATTACTATATGGGGCTTCACCCCTCCCTAATGAATTACTATATGGGGGGATGAATTAAGATGAATTACTATATGGGGGATGAATTTTACTTTGGATGGGGGGGGGGGATGGAATTACCCAAATTCGACAGATAACAGAATTGACAGGTACCCGCTTTCGCTGTGAATCACCTAGGTGATTGGAAGCGGAAGTTGCTATCTCTTTCCCAAATGTGGCCCAAAATAAATTTAGTGTTTTGTGGTATAGTCTTCTGTTGCCCCACCACACGCGACAGGTCCCATAAGACTAGAGGACCATTGGGACACGCGACAGGTCACAAAGTGGGCACCCAGCTATGAAGTCACTAGCTGTCACAGCTGGGTGACCATACTGAAGATGCCAGTTCCAGGGACTCCAGATGGCTACGTGATCAAGGGACAGGTGAGCGCCTGTCTGTTTTTTAACCTCCCTGGAGGTATTCCAAGTGTAGCTCGGGGTAAAGTTTCAGCACCACAAGCGGTAACCCCCCCGAACTACACTCGGGAATACACTGCAGCGCTGCTCCGGGATCTCTTCTGCACTTACCTTGTCCTGCGCTCCTGCGATGTCCCTCCTGCAGCATCCCCAGGCAATCTCCTGGCCGATGCCGGCATCCGTCTTCTGGTGTTCCTGTTCCCTGTGACGTCGGGACTATACAGGGGACGGAACCGGCGGAAAATTTAAAAATGTAAAAAGTGACATTCACTAAATACACTAAAATCACATAGTAAAACATTCCTGTATAAAACCATTTCACATACATTTTGTCCCGAGTGCTTTGTCCGGCGCCCTGCCTGCATTATTACTGTTCTTTCTGCCTGGAAACTGAGAAACGTCCATGGCGTCCAAAAAGCGTCCTTTGTGGTCAAAAGCGGTTTTAGACCAACTAGAAAACAGCGATAGTAAATTAGAACCACTTGCAGAATTGAGTGATAATGATTCGTGGGGGAAATTCGTCATCAGACACTGATTTATTTATTAAATTATAATTTATGATTTCGTGTTTCAAATTTTATCCTACCCGGGATGTTTACTAGACTCTTGTTCAGACAGATTTCAGTGAGCTATTCCTAAGAATTACAGGCCTGCAATAAAAAAAAAAACGACATATTTCCATGCAAAAAAATGTACCGCTTTGAGCACAGAAATACTGACATAATCAGTCCGCTAGGGAGGCTACAAGTCTTCAGCTTTTTTTGTAGCAGCTGACTTTTATTTTTTTTAATTTTAACTGAACCTCTGCTTTAGGAAAAGGTGTGAAACGCCAACTGGGCTTTCAGCATGAGGCTCAGCGTGGCAGCTAATTAAATGGAAGGATTCTCGGATTGGCAGGTTACATTTTGTTTTGTTTATACGCCATCTACATATATATACCATTCTTCAGCCAGCAGAGGGCGATGCAGACTAAACAATAGCTTAGTCTACCCTATGTTCAGACAGATTTCTGGATTTTTAGAAGCTCCCGAGTAGCAGAGTAAAAACTGGCTATAGCTACTGACATTTATATAGCTATTGAGCACTGCGCCGAGAGGGCCCGGGGTCAGTAGGGGGCCCCATGAGATGCCCCTGGTACCTTTTTATAGGCTTTTTTTGGGTGTGGGCAAGGACACGGGGGCCCCATGATCCCCTATTGCCCGGGGCCCCATGAGTTGTCAGTCCGCCCCTGCTATTGAGCTAAAAAAATATACCACTGACCGTAGTGTGAAGTGCTTCCTAAACAATCCATTTCAGTGTTGCCAAACTACCAGATTGAAATTTACAGACTCCATGCCCAAATTGTACTGGCACAGCCAAGTTTTTTTGGCATTTCCAAAAGTTAAAAAAAATTACAGTTTTAAGGGCAAATTTCAGTATTTAGGGTACGAGCAAGTACAATATGCAATTAGCAATGTGATTTGAGTTAAATATATTATAAATATTTAGGGCTCCAAAACATATTTCATATTTTGCTTTATAGTACGTAGCTCAGGGACAGGACACAGGAGGGCCATTTTCTTTATAATTAGAATGGGAATGGGCACACACATGACACTGATTGTCACAGTACACTGACAACTGTGCACAGCAGCACAAATGGTGATGACATCACACACGACATAACTCATCCCCTCCAGAGTCACAATGACAGCATCTCTCCACGCCAGGTGGTCCTTTTAGTCCCGGTTCACATATATGCGGCCGTGTGGGCTGCGCGTTTTGCGCGGGCACGAGAGCCCATTCATTTAAATGGACTCCAGTGACACGCAGAGAAGAAGTCCCTGCACTTCTGAAGACGCAGCCCGCATGGGAACCTCGGTTCCCAGTACGGTTCCGTTTTCTAGTGCGGGCGGCGTGCCATTAGAACTAATGGGTCGGCATTTTTCTGTGCGGGTGGTGCGGCTGCACGGATTTTCGTGCGGATCATCAGCAGCGGCACCACCCGCATAGATGTGAACTTAGCCTTAGTCTACTCCAGTCCTAACAGCACTGCCAGTCCCGCTTCCGGATTGCCTTGCTCCTGTCCCACAGGCCGCACACGAGGCTCCGCTCAGCTCCATTAACATCACACGACACTCAGACATCTCCTCTGCCAGGCCCCACCCGAACACACTGTAACAGGCACTTAGATGGTCTCGGCCGGCTCCAGACCGGAACTGCGCATGTGTAGTTCCGAGCCAAACATCACAGCCATATTTCTAACTGGCAACCTTTTCCTGTCACTGGCAGAAGAGAAGTGGCAATTCTTTATTGGCTGCAGTAAAATAACTGACGGTTGGCAACACTGATCTTTTTTGGGTTCCATCTAGTCTGGCTGACCTTTAACTGTACTGACATGATTACTGATGAAGTTTGTTTTCAGATTAAAATATGTAAAAGGATAAGGGCACCACAGGCTTGGCCTGGGTCCAGTAAACATTATGTGACAATGGGTCATGGGACAGAGCTAATATGTTTTGGGACTCACAGCTTCCCCTTTATCAGTGCTGGTAGTTAATGGGGAATACTGGACAGCACTCCTATCAAACAAGGATTTGAGTGATTCTAAAATGGCAGTCTGACAGCGACTGTCTTCTTTGTGACATTCCATGCAATTTTTGACTTCATGAGGTCATTGTGGGCTGACCACAAAGCTTGGCGTGCAACAAAACACATAGTCGTGCTCAGGGTGCAGTACATGTCTGTATTTGACAAGCAGGATATGAATTGCACCATTGGTGTCCCTTTACCCTTCTATTCAAGTATTGGTATTGTCTTCATAAAAAATAATGTGAACAGAGAATTCACAAAAGAAAAGCGATTACATGAAGGACAATGCGATACTCAAAAAATGTAATCAGAATTATTATTATTGCTATTATTATACAGGATTTATGGCGCCAACAGTTTGCTCAGCGCTTTACAATATAACGGGAGACAATACAGTTCAATACAAGAGGGATAGGAGGGCCCTGATCCTGGGAGCTGACAATCTAAGAGAATATGCTTGTGTTAGAAAAATTGCAATATGATACAATTGAGTAAAGACTGCAAGGTAGCCATCACCTCAATGTTAGACAATACAAAAAAAATGACAGAAAACCGAAAAAATAAAAAAGAGAGACATCATGGATAGGCCATATATTGTAATATGCTGTAGAAGCGACGACTCAAAGGTCTTTTGCTCATGCGGCAAATCACATTGGGGGGGGAACCACCGTGGTGGGGATACATGTATTATAAGACACACACAATAATGATGCTTTAGACCAGCCTTTCTCAACCAGGGTGCCTTGAGGTTTCTTCAGGGGTGCCTTGAGGTTTCTTCAGGGGTGCCTTGGCAAAATGTCTACAAATTGCCCAAAACTTGTATACAAGCCAGCGGGTGGAACAAGCCTGCCTTTTAGTTACACAAAGCCACAGGTTTTCATTGTGCGCCATACCACCTTCTAGCCGCTGGAATCCTGACAACCAATGACATCATCAGTTGATAAGGAGGATGTCAGCTGCCTGCACAGCATCCTAGTGTTGACCCTCCCCCGCCCCTCTCCATCAGTGCTGGGGTCACATTAGCTCAGTGATGGAGAAAAACTGAGGGAGAAGAGAAACATGGGAATACTAGTCAGTACCAGTGTGCAAAAGTGTATTTGTTTTGGAAGAATAAATCCCCTCTAATGTTGGGTGTCCTACATGTGTGGATGTTGCTGCGTTCTATAAAACTATTAGAATAGTTTTTCACATTTTAGAATGGGGTGCCTCAAGTCTGTCCATAATTATAAAGGGTGCCTCAAGACTTTCCATAATTATAAAGGGTGCCTCAAGACTTTCCATAATTATAAAGGGTGCCTCAAGACTTTCCATAATTATAAAGGGTGCCTCAAGATTTTCCATAATTATAAAGGGTGCCTCAAGACTTTCCATAATTATAAAGGGTGCCTCAAGACTTTCCATAATTATAAAGGGTGCCTCGGGAATATCCATAATTTTAAAGGGTGCCCTGACAAAAAAAAGTTTGAGAAACACTGCTCTAGATAGTAGGAACAACTAAACTACTCTGTTCTCAAGGGACATGTTGATAGGATGAGAGAGCAGAGTGAAAAAATCGATGAGCTCTTCAGTATGCTGCTTGGGAGCTGTCACTCTGTTCTCAAGGGACATGTTAACAGGAGGAGAGAGCAGAGAGACAAATCGATGAGCTCTTCAGTACTGAGGTTGAGAAACACGGCTTTAGACCAATCATCAAAAATGAGCTGGTGTCGCCTCTACTGTCATGGAAACAGAGAACCAATCAGGGAAAGGTCACTATTTGAAAATAAAACTACCCATGTGGATATCCAAGTTTATATTTTCAAATAGTGACCTTTCCCTGATTGGTTCTCTGTTTCCATGACAGTAGAGGCGACTGAGAAATCGGGTGCAGATGTGCATGGGAGCCAATCAGCTTCTAACTTCAGATTCTTTAGTTAAACTTTGACAATAAAACCTGGAAGCTGATTGGTTACTATGCAGGTCTGCACCAGATTTTGCACTCTCTAATTTGAGTAAATCACCCCCGGTAATATCTTTTATATAATATTACTACAAGTATATGTAAACCATAAATTATTATTCGTTTGTTAAAGCTGAACTCCGGCAGACATTCGCCCATTCATACAAATAGCGGCGGCTGCTCAGCTCTGTATAAATTATTGAAGGGCTAACAGCGGCCACTGTCCACGGGGTCACTTGTGGTCAGGGATGGATGTCTGAGACGTTGTTAGCCTGTTATTTGTTCATTTAATATTTTTGGGGTGGCACAGTGGCTTAGTGTTTAGCACGTCTGCCGTGCAGTAAATAAGTCATGGGTTCGATTCCCGACCATGGCGTCTCCTGCATGGAGTTTGCATGTTCTCTTTTTGCTTGCGTGGGTTTCCTCCGGCTACTCCGGTTTCCTCCCACACTCCAAAGACATGTTGGTGGGTTAATTGGCTCATTATTATTATTATACAGGATTTATGGCACCAACAGTTTGCTCAGCACTTTACAATAGAACGGGAGACAATACAGCAACAATACAGTTCAATATAAGAGGGATAGGGGGGCCCTGATCCTGGGAGCTGACAATCTAGCATCATGTCTAAATTGTCCTAGTTTCATCCCTGACCATGTGGGATCTCCTGCATGGTGGGGGTTGAGGAAAGACCTGGCAACCTACCCTGTAAAATAATTGCTAACAGAATTCATGGAAAAAGTCGTTTATGAGGGACGGTCCATGCAATCGCCAAGGGTCGGATACGACCAGGGGCGGACTGACCATTTGGAAACTCAGGCACTGCCCGAGGGCCCGGAGTCAGACGGGGGCCCCATGAGATGCCCCTGGTACCTTTTTCATAGGCTTTTTTGAGTTTAGGCAAGGACACAGGGGCCCCATGATCCCCTATTGCCCAGGGGCCCCATGAGTTGTCAGTCCGCCCCTGGATACGACTGAATGGATAGATAGATAGTTCATTTAGGCTTTACGGATGCCGCTATTCGCATGCATTTGTTATTCCAGCCAGAAGTCTTGTTGCTGGAATCTGGTGTGTGTGGCTAAACACCGTGTGAAGGAGTGTAATTAAATAGCTAATCAACAGACTGTACAGCTACAGCCTGCACCACCTAGTGGCCATCAGGAAGGAGCATACACGCTTAAAGGGATGCCAGGGATGTTTTTTTCACATAACACACTTGCGCAAAGCTGCAATCTTCTGGCCTCTCCCACCAAACACAATCTTACTGAAAGCAAAGACCGGCTGAGGGACCCAGTGATGATGTCACTGAGTTTCCAAGTGATTATTTTGCAAACGAGAAAAATTTGTATTTGCAGGTTGATAGGGAAAGGTTTTCTATACTAACATTACACTTTAAAGCTAATAGGCTACATTTTTTTTTTGGCTCTGATGAGCCAATCATGGCGGATGTTCTATTTAGAAGGGACTATAGACAGATCGACCTACATAGGAAGGTCAAACAAACGAAACTCTCTGAAAGTGTATTGCCTGCAGGGGTGGACAGACCATTTGGAAACTCAGGCACTGCCTGAGGGCCCGGGGTCAGTAGGGGCCCCATGAAATGCCCCTGGTACCTTTTTCATAGGCCTTTTTGAGTTTGGGCAAGGACACAGGGGCCCCATGATCCCCTATTGCCCAGGGGCCCCATGAGTTGTCAGTCTGATTGCCTGTATGTACATCCGGTGACACATTCCGCATACGTCTGTCATATTTTACTGAATGTATCCCTACAGGTCTGGAGTGAAGTCAACCAGGCCGTGTTAGACTACGAGAACCGCGAGTCCACGCCCAAGCTGGCCAAACTTCTCAAACTCCTCCTCTGGGCGCAGAACGAGCTAGATCAAAAGAAAGTCAAATACCCCAAGATGGCCGACCTCAGCAAAGGAACGGTAGAGGACCCCAAGTAACAGAGGACCCGGCATCCCTTGCAAACCTCCTGCATCATCAGTCTGTGACTGCAACGTTTTCTATCAGTATGCCAACTGGACACTTCCTGTTTTGGTCTCTGACCTCACTTCCTGTTTCCAGGAACAAGGGTCCAACAAAGATTTAGAAAAAAAAAAAGGGGGGGTTTTCTTGGTGTTTTATCTGCAGAAAATGCTAGTTCTAGGGTCACGTCAGGTCCCACCACCAAGGGAAGACCCAGAAATGCCGTCTATGCCACAGAGCAGAGATGTGTAACAGGAACATGTCCTCACTACAGAGAATATGAAGCCCACAACATAGTGTGATCATCTACTAAATATATATTTATTTATCCCTTTTTTCTCTTTTTTTCCTTTTTTTTTTTTTTTTTTTTTTACCATGGAAAGATGTACTGTGTATATAGAGTGTGGCTTCTGTTGGAAAGCTGTCCCCATCTTTGTTATTAAGAGTCATAATTATAATAGACACCATTGTTTGAACTTTCTTTGTACCAGTTTTATTGACTACAGTCCACCCAAAAGTGTTATTTTAGTCCTGGCTGGAGCCTGGTGGACTGAATCGGTTCCTGTCGTCTTATGTCGGGTGCGTCAATGGTGAGAACTCCCTATAATTCCCAGCTCTGTCTCAACACAAAGGTGCCCATCCACCTTTGTGTGTCCTACCATTCACCATGGTATAGAATACACAGAAAACCCAGCACGGATGGTGGGAGCTCCTCAGCATGGGCACAGCAGGTGTACAGGCCTGGGAACTCTGCACAGGGATGGTGGGAGCTCCTCAAAATGGGCACAGCAGGTGTACAGACCTGGGAACTCAGCACGGGGATGGTAGGAACCCCTCATAATGGGCACAGCAGGTGTATAGGCTCGGGAACTCAGCACAGGGATGGTGGGAACCCCTCATAATGGGCACTGCGGGTGTACAGACCTGGGAACTCAGCATAGGAATGGTGGGAAGCCCTCATAATGTGCACAACAGGTGTACAGACCTGGGAACTGAGCACGGGATGGTGAGAAGCCCTCATAATGTGCACAACAGGTGTACAGACCTGGGAACTGAGCACAGGGATGGTGGGAAGCCCTCATAATGGACACAGCGGGTGTACAGACCTGGGAACTCCGCATAGGAATGGTGGGAACCCCTCATAATGTGCACAGGTGTACAGACCTGGGAACTCCACATAGGGATGGTGGGAAGCCCTCATAATGGACACAACGGGTGTACAGACCTGGGAACTCCGCATAGGGATGGTGGGAAGCCCTCATAATGGACACAACAGGTGTACAGACCTGGGGAACTCCACATAGGGATGGTGGGAACTCAGCACGGGGATGGTGGGAACTCCTCATAATGGGCACAACAGGTGTACAGACCTGTGAACTCCACATAGGGATGGTGGAACTCCTCATAATGGGCACAACAGGTGTACAGGCCTGTGAACTCCACATAGGGATGGTGGGAACTCCTCATAATGGGCACAGCAGGTCTACAGACCCGGGAACTCAGCACAGGGATTGTGGGAACCCCTCATAATGGGCACAGCAGGTGTACAGACCTGGGAACTCAGCACGGTTTAGTGGACACCCATCATAATGGGCACAGCAGGTCTACAGACCAAGGAACTCCGCACAGGGATGGTGGGAACCCCTCATAATGGGCACAGCGGGTGTAAAAACATAGTAAAGCTCATCAAGAGATCACGGAAACAGTCAGATGGGTTAGATACTTGGTAATCTCCTTTAACAACTAATAGGATCCATCCATGTTTCTGGTACAGTATGGGAGAAGGAACAGAGGAATGGGATTGGATGCTGAGAGCAGTTTTGTCTTCAGACACTTTGGGGTTGATTTGCTAAAACTGGAGAGTGCAAAATCTGGCCGATTATTCTTAGGTCCGATTTTCGAAACAAAAATCGTTCGGAAATCGACCCGTGTATGGCCGGCCTAAGGCAGTAAGTTTTACTAGAACTGGAGAGAAATCTGGCTCAGCTTTGCATGGGAGCCAATCAGCTTCTACCATCAGCTTGTTCAATTAAGCTGTGACAATAAAACCTGGAAACTAAACAAAATCTGGTGCAGCTCGGCATAGAAACCAATCAGCTTCCAGGTTTTATTGTCACAGCTTAATTGAACAAGCTGATGGTAGAAGCTGATTGGCTCCCATGCAAAGCTGAGCCAGATTTCTCTCCAGTTCTAGTAAATCAACCCTTAGGCAGGCCATACACGGGTCGATTTCCGGACAATTTTTCGTGCAAAAATCGGGCCTAAGAATAATCGGCCGATTTTCGCTCTGTTAGTGGGGCAATGGCACTGGCCGATTTTCGTGGTTCCTCCCCATTTCGTTTATCGGGCATGCTGGAAAATTCGTGAAAAACTATATCGATTTTCCAAATCATTGGTGGCACCATCGGATTACAGAACGAACAATGTTTTCAATTTTCGATCAAAAAATCGTTCGGAATTCGACTCTTGTATGGCCTGCTTTATGATTTTTTTTAACGGTCAAAAAATAAAAAATACTTGTTGGGGAAGCTTTGGATTAGAGGCTTCAGTGTTGCATGCTGGCACATGGTGTCACCACAGTAGGAAGCGAGGGGGGGGGGGGGGGGTTTCTTTATGAAGATTGCAATAGGAACCTGATGGAGGTTCTAAGCCTTCCTTTTCTTAGAAATAATGCCCCGGTAGTACCTCCTGGGCGTGTGTTTGTGTAACAGTACAAACTAATGCAGGCCATAGACTGTTCGTTTATCGGCCGAATTTTCACCCGAAAGAATAATTGTCCGATATTCGCACCGTCAGTGGGGCAATGTCGTCGGACGATTTTCGCAGTTCCTCCTCGTTTTTTTTATCGGTCATGCTGGAAAATTTACGAAAAACGGACGATTTTGGTAAGCATTGGTAGCAACAGAATGACCGTTTTTTCAGCCAAAAATTCGACCAATAAACAAACCGTCTATGGCCGGCATAACAAAGCCCTATAGGTAAAACATGGTCTTTTCATGAAGATGTAGAGTCCACTTACTTATGTAGGCCATAGACAGGTCAAAAACCGGCCGTTTTTTTTAAAAAAATTGTTCGATCGGCCGACATTACCACCAACTGTAAAAAAATCAGCTGATTTTCGTCCCGTCTATAGCCGGCATTTAACCCCATAATTACTTCTGGCCCTTGTAGAGACGGGAGCACACGGGAGCAATACATAAGAAGAAGAGGAAGAATAAAAGAAGAAGAATTCCAGTTCGCTATTATATTTTATATGAAAAGTATTGCGGTTGCAACAATGTATCTATTTGTGTCCATTTCAGATACAGATGTTTTTATTCGGATACAAATAGATACATTGTTGCAACCGCAATACTTTTCATATAAAATATAATAGCAGACTGGAATTCTTCTTTTTCTTAGTCTTTTTCTCCTTCTTTCTTCTGCTCCTTCTTTTTCTTAGTCTTTTTCTTCTTCTGCTTCTTCTTTTTCTTTTTCCTAGTCTTCTTTTTCTCCTTTTTTTTCTTCTGCTTCTTCTTCTTTTTCTTAGTCTTTTTTTTCTCCTTCTTTTTCACCTTCTTTTTTCTACTTCTTTTTCTTCTTCTTTTTCTTAGTCGTCTTCTTCTTTTCTTTTTCCTAGTCTTCCTTTTCTCCTTCTTTTTCTCCTTCTTTTACTTCTTCTTTTTCTTCTTCTTTTTCTTAGTCTTTTTCTTCTTTTTCTTTTTCCTAGTCTTCTTTTTCTCCTTCTTATTCTTCTTCTTCTTTTTCTTCTTCTTTTTCTCTTTCTTTTCTTCTTCTTTTTTCTTCTTCTTCTTTTTTCTTCTTCTTTTTCTTAGTCTTTTTCTTCTTCTTCTTCTTTTTCCTAGTCTTCCTTTTCTCCTTCTTTTTCTCCTTCTTTTACTTCTTCTTTTTCTTAGTCTTTTTTCTTCTTTTTCTTTTTCCTAGTCTTCTTTTTCTCCTTCTTATTCTTCTTCTTCTTTTTCTTCTTCTTTTTCTCTTTCTTTTTCTTCTTCTTTTTTCTTCTTCTTTTTCTTTTTCTTAGTCATCTTCTTCTTCTTGGCTCAGGCGCAGATTTTTTATCGGTAAAATGATCGGCCGATTTGCCCATTATTGCCGGGAAAAACGATCGATCGTCAAAATCGCCCGTGAATTTTCCAACATGCCTGATAAAAAAAAATGTGCAAAAAGCCCAAAAACGGCTGACCAATTAACCCACTAATGATGCGGAAATCGGTCGATTTTTCGACCCGTCTATGGCCCCCATTAGGGCAGCCGGGTGTAAACAAACCCCACTGTTTGTGTATACCTGGCTACCTCCAATCCACCCTACCTAAACGGAAGAGGTTGGATCACCTTCTATTGCTGGTGGACCCAGAGGTAGGCCGGTGTAAAGGGACACAAGTCCATTTACACCTGCCAGTCTATGCGAGTGAATGGGCCCTTGGATCAGGTCTGCCTGACAGGCGGACCTGATTGGAATGGGCGGGTGAAAAGGGCCAAAAATATAGGAAGAAATATGTAGAAAAAATACTTGCCTTACCCCCACCCCCAGCCCTTGCTCCCAAGTCAGTGGCCTAGGCAAGAGCGACCGGTTTTCTTTAACTCAGTTCTCTGGCAGTTCGGCTTGACACAGGTCGAGTATTTCATCAGACGTGACACACCCTGGGAAACTATTGTTCCATTGTACAGGACTACAGTGCGCTACACGGGGGACATTGTTGTGTCATGAGCTTGTTCCCCGAGGTTTGATAAATGACACGCCAAGACACAAACCTCCCGTGCGAGGCCGCAGAACCTCCCAACCTGCGGGTGTTCACTTATTTTCACTGGATTCTGTATCCTTTGTTTGGATTGCTGACGTGGAGAAAACTGGCCATGACCTTTAGTTCTTTTTTTTTTTTTTTTTCTCTCTCCTGTACCTGTAGCCATATCCAGCCCTCAATTATCCCTTTGTAACCCTACCTTTTGTGTACGTCCTGCATGTTAGTGGGCAGGCAGC